ATTAAATCATTTCAATATATATATATATATATATAAATTAATAGATAAAATAGGAAGAAATTAGAAGAGGAATAAGATAGAATTAGGAAGGGAATATAAAAAGGCAAAGGATCAAATAGGAAAAAAAGGGACTGTGGTGTTGTAACAACTACAGTACCACGATCCGTTAAACTCTCGTGTCAATATCTCGAGGTTGGGGAAGCTCCAACTTCATTGGTCGATGTTTCTGGTTCAATGTAACATGCAATCAAGTCTGTCACGTTGATGGTAGCATAGATATTGCAATCCCCTGCAAGATCGATCATGTAGGTATTGTCATTCTACATCACATCTTGATAGAATAAGTTTCCAACATATTTTAGTGCAATCATAATTGGAAATGTTCGTGGATGGGTATCTTTACGAACCAAGTCTCGAATCATTAAATATGGAATTGGTTTCTTCCCCTCCTCGTACTCATCTGTGTATCTGATAAACAAGCATGTAAGGAGAAATCAACTCTAGGATGAAGTCTATGGTAAGCTGGACCACATTCAAGTATAACCACCCAAGATAAATTTCTTTTACTTTTCTGATAGGACTTGGATTTCATTGAAGAATTTCTTTTCCACCAAACCCCTAAGACAATTTTCAAAGCTGCGGTTCATCTCTTATATCTGGTCATTTAATGGTGGGTACGCTGTTGAACTAAATATAACATCTGAATAACTCAATATAGTCATCCCGACACAGCAAAGATAGGCCCCATCTCTGACGTGTTGGACCTCTCTTGGTATGGACAACTCAAGAATGAGTCTATAGATATGAATAGTCCAAATTTCTCTTATCTGGCATTATCATGCCTCCGGTGTCAGATCCTCAAACTCAAGACTGCTTTAGACACTCACCGTGAAGTTGGTCAGAGTTTATCCCGCGGGCTCAGTTAGAACTATGTGCATCTTTTTCTCCTTGACTAGAAGTTGGTCCTTCGTGTCCTCATTGACTTCAATGTCAACTGTCATTGCGCAATTTTTCAAGAGCACCCCGCTCAGTGAAACAGATCACCCCCTGATTGTGCAATTTGATTCAACATGCCCAAATTCATGGCACGTGCAACACTTTCTAGCTGGCGCATATTTAGTGATGTGGATTGGTTCCACTTGTTATCCACTCTAACTCAGTTTTACTTCTATTGGGGTTAGCTTGGATGTTCTCCTGACTGTAATCTAGCAGTAATACCCTGAGGTTGAGCAATGTCTGTAAGATATAGTAGTCGTCTGGTGATGTGATCTCTCCACTTCTGAAGTTATATTCTCAATCTTCTGTCTATAGTAAGCTGGTAGGAACTGACACTAGACCTCCTGCTTTATCTTCAGATTCTTCCGTTCTTTATTTTGACAGCTCTTCTTGAGGCCTCCTCGGATACTAAATTCCAAAGCGTCATGCCCGATCTTCTGCATGAAATAATCCCTGTGGAAGGGATTCAGACCCTCGTCTCTTGCTCCCCTTGAATTCGCCAGATTATGTTCGAGGATAATTTTTCAATAGGTTTCTTCCTCAGTGTCCCCAAACTTCTGGGGAAGTCAGTGGATCTCTCGCTATATCTCTTCTTGAGTAGGCTCGGGCAAGTATCTCCTTGGTGGCATGGCTAGAGTTTAGGGTTGGGAGGTGAAAGATAGAGCATGAGACTAATTGAAAGTGTACAAAATTTAATTTGAGGTTCCTATTTTTAAAATCAGCAAAGAAAAATTAAAGTTATGTCAAAATTTAGCTATGTTTGGTAAGTGCTAGGAATCAAAATTTTTTGTGAAGGTGGCCTAGGTAGGGGCGGCTGCTATGAAATCTTAGAATATAAGTAGGGTTAGGCTAGCTCGGATACCAAATGAAACTGGAGTTAACCCAAACCACAATAGAAATATAAATATTATTGTTGAATTCAAACAGGGTTACAACGACTGTTCAAATAAAAAATAAATGATAACAAACATAAAACGATACAAGCAAATATCACCTAAGTGTAGATAGGGATAGCAGTGGTCAGTTAGGTAGATCGGGATGGCTAGCACGGGTGGCAGCAAAAAAGAAATGATGGTGGCAAAGATGGGAAGGTTCGGAAATGCAGCAACAGCAAGTATGGAGGTTGTCATGAGTGATAGTGGTGAGGAGTTCGTTGGAGTTGATAACAAGAAGGTGTTTACTAGTTGTCATGGCTGAGATTGTCGAGGCAGTAGGAAGGAGGGGTTGTTGGGGCAGCAATAATGTTAGAAGGGAGTAGCTGGTAGGCTAAGGACTTAAGAAAACAGCAAATCGAGTGTTGTTGCCAGTAGCTTCTGTGTGGGAGGATGTGGAAGAAAATAAGAGAAAATAATCACCACTTCGGGGAAGAGATACAGCTGGAACACCACCCAATCCCTTGGACATAGCCATCGAAAGAGAAAACAGACGCCCAAAACTGTCCTGACAAAAATCTGAAATCTGAAATTAATCAAAAGCTAACACTAAGAAAACAAAACCACATATATATAATAGCTAATAGATAAAATAAGAAGGAATTAGAAAAGAAAGAAAATAGATTTAAGAAGGTAATAGAAAAAGACAAGTGATCAAATAGGAAAAAAAGGGACAGCGGTACTGTAGCAACTACAGTACCCCAACCCGTTAAGGCCCCACGTCACACCTATAGCACAACAATTTCATAGTTTAACTATCCAAGCAGACTGCAGTTGCTTCTCCTGATAACAGTTTCGCAACTGCTTCTTTAAGAAGCTGCAGTCATCTCAAATAGACCCTAAATCTGGTACTTCTATCCCAACTTATCGCAATTTAGTTGTTTCATTCTTCAACGAGAGATCAATAAGTTAATAAAGTTTTCAATACGTGCCTTAGATGGACTTCAAAAGCAGTCCATTAAGGAAAAACAATTTTTAGTTAAAAAAAAGCATTAACGTAAAAGGCTAGAATAGCCGAAGCACAGAACAATATGTGCTAAAAAATAATAACATTTCAACGAGCTTTAGTGCTGCCTGACTGAAGTGACAAGTTACCTCCTACAGTCTTAAACATATGTATAAATTCCTTGGAGCATCTACAGAATTTCAATCAAATACCAGACAATAGCATGCAATTATCGAACCGGCCGAATACAATGTATTCAAGTTCCAAGATAGAGAAAAACAATGCTTAAGTCTACTGTGAATTGGTTAGCTTCAAAAAGAATTACTAAGAATTAGAATGAGTAGAGTCCAAATGCACCACAGATAAAATAGGAATAACCCTAGTATCTATGAACAACAGAAAACAACAAAGCAAAACGACAATAAAAGGTGAAACTGACCGAATTTGAATAAATTCTTCTGCTCGGATGGTGAGGCTGCAGCATATCCTGAAGATTGAAAACACAAAAACAAAAAAAGAACTCGCTAGAGAATAAGGATACAAAAAATGAACTCGATAAATCACAAAAGGTAGCAGACGAACAAGATGTCTCAACAGGCGAGGCTTGATGCTGAGACATTGGGGTACCTGATGAGGGCTTGGGATGCCTTTGTGGGAATTTGATACGTGGAATCCGCTTCATCGCCTGCGCAACCACCATAGCGCTTTTCGCTAGCTCCCTCCCACGCTTTGCCTTGTCTCGATCTCGAATCAAACTAGGGACAATTACAAACGGAGCACCCCAATTACTCATATTTAAACTATTGAGTTTTTGATAAAAATGAAAAATATGGGTTTGATTTTATCTAGAATATCATATTTGAGTTAGAATTTGAAAATTAGATGAAAAAGAGTGATTGATTTGTAAATAATAAGTTTTGGGTGGTCTGGTATGTAATTGCCCTAAAATATTATTATACATAAATATAAGTACTCCCTGTCCCAATTAAAAAATAGTAATTAAAAATTAAAATTACTTTGTTTAGGGCATTTAACATTTCAAAATCCATATTAAAATAAGCATTTTGAATTCTTATTCCTACTTTAGGGTTTACAGTTTGTAGTTTTCTCAATTTTGTCCCCATTACTCACTCGAAATTCTTCTATTCTCCCAAAGTTAAGATTGATCATTTTCTCTCTGTTCCATGACATTCACTTTTGTTTGTTCATTTCTCCATGTCAATCGAAATCCATTTTAAGAATTCATCTGTCTCTCTGTCTCGCAGCATTCAGCTGACAAATCGGTTTGCTCGCAACAAAGATGCTAGCTATTGACTCTTTTTTTTTCTTCTTAAGTACATCCATAAATATGGTTGCATACATTACTTGGTTATCATTTTTTAAAGGACATTTTTTATTTTTTGGGTTCATTTTTCTTCTGAGCAATAATGATTTTTATCTTTTTCATTTTTTTGTGATTTTTCTTCTGTATGACCTATATCTATTCATATTTTTCTTGAGTACAACCATATTATACTAATATTTTTTCGTATTTTAAATAATTTTTATAGCTATCGACATATTTTCTTTCTTTTTTTTTGTGCATATCTGTTGTACAAACATGTTATATATGGTTGTGTTTCAGCTTTATTCGAGTTCTTCTGTATACTTGTGTTGTATAACTTTGTACATCAACGTTTTTTAGTACAAGGATGTTGTAGAAGTCGTATTTTTCATTGCATGGATATTGTGAATAATTTTATTTATTTTTCTTTGTTATATTTATTGTACAACAATGTTGTGCATGATTACATTTTTGTTTTTTTTAGTTCTTTTGTACAATCATGTTGTAGAATATTGTATATCAGCTTTTTTCGAGTACAACAACGCAGTATTGGTTGTATTTTTTCAGTGCACAGACATCTTGTCATGACCATTATTTTTACTTTTTCTTTATTTTTCTTAATATTTTGTTGCAAATATCTTTTTTCTCATAAAACATTACTTTTTTATGTGTCATTATTTCTTCAATATAATAATGTCCTACATGGTTGTACTTCAACTTTCTCTTTTATAGTAATTTTGTGTTTTGTGTGTTTTTGCCATGTACAATTATATTGTACATTGTTGTATTTGAGCATTATTTTTAATAGTCATTTTATATTTTATGTAATTTTCATTGTGCGTAAATATGTTGTACATCGTTACACAATAGTTTTTTTTATGTATAATGACATTGTGTTAGTTATATTTTTCATTGAACATGCATCGAGTACAATTCATTCCCATTTAATTGTTATCTTATTTTTGCTTTTCAGCGTATTGATCAGTTTGTAAGAGAATGACCAAAGCACAAATTACTTCCAGGTGCCAACCAAACACATTCAGAGCAATAAGTGATGAATTTGCATAGCACGTCTTGAGAATATTGTTGCCATTTTGAGGAACATGCATCTGCATCACTTTTTAAAGAAACAAGCCTTATGTTTTGGTGGACATGAGTTGATGCTTATTGTTTATGTAGTTGCTCTAAGGGTTGAGTTGTCGAATAGAGGAACTTAAAAAACATGGAGTATGGATATGCTTTCTAGTTTCACATCTATAGAGTATAAAGAAAAATTAAAAGCCTTAAAATTAATGTAAATAGTACTAAATTTATTAAAATATTTATTACTTAGTGATCTTCTTTTTTATGGGAAAAATATTCATGAGATTGCACAATATAGTTGGCCAGAAGCTATCTAAAGATTTTTAGTATAACGGTTTGACACTCTCATTGGAAAGTCAAAACTGCAAAAATCTTTTGGCTACATGAGTTGATATGTCACACTCTTGATGGCAAGAAATTTTAAGTTATCTTGTTTTTCAGCCTATGTATGTCTAGATACTGTCTAATATATTTTTTTTTCATGTAATACGGGAATTGATTTGTTAAGCACACAAATAATTTATTCTTTTTGATGCCACATTCAAGACCTCATATCATGTGTTGGTCAATTTAGTTTCATTGAGAAATAAAAAATGCAATATTATTTTTTCATATTTGTTTGGTGATCAAGTATAAATTAGTGTTGTAAAGTATATCACTTCCATTATTATAATCATATATACAAGTTTTTTTATATTTTAGGGATATAATTAAGAAAGAGGCGACAATATTAATTGAATTTTCAATTTCCAATTTTTTTTCCAAGAGTCACCTCTTCTCCATCCTCTATATCACATAAGTCTTCTCCCGTTAGGTGCTCCCCTCGTAGGAGCTCCGCCTTCTGTTAAAATCTCACTATTGGAACCAAAGCTACCTCCCACATACAGTCATGTTGATATTCCAACAAACATTGAAACTTATAATTTAATAGAGATTATTGAGTGAGGATTGATACTTTTGAATTTTCACTATACAATAAGCTTAGGAAGACAGAAATAAGCTAGAGTAGTAAAATAAGTACAGTGGAGGAAAGATTAAGATCTATTGAAGACCAAATAACTAGCATTTGGTTGATGTATGTGTAAGAATAAATGCATCCCGTCTTGAATCAAATCTAATTGGGGAGGAAATGAATAAGGTTACAATTAGCCCCTGGTCCAAACTGGGGTAAGAGCTAGTTGAGGTACATACTATTTTAGTTCTTTTTTTATAAAGTAGGAGTCGTCAATCTATCTATTCATCGTCCTAAGATACCCAAGTAACCAAATAGCTTATGTGAGGTAAACCTCGTGCGATAGGTCAAGAGTGTATGTCCAACTAAGAGATGCCTTTAACCAAATATCCACGCAATAATAACTAAATAAGCTACCCAAGTAACCAGAGAACCAAATTTTTGTGTTTGGTATGGGTTCAAGAGCAAACCCAAAGGGTCGTATCTCACTTGAATAATTACATCTTGAGGAATACCCAAAAAATACTCTCGATTAAAGGAGTTCTACTTACATTCAAGTGATGACTAGTGAGAGGGTGTTACAAATGATGGTTATCCCATAAGAGCATCCTGATGCCTTCAAAGCTTTCACTAAACCACAAGGGAGAGAATGAGTTTCTTACGGTTCCAAATGGTTAATAGCTCATCGACAAACAGGACCTGTGAAATAACCCGGTCGTTTTATAGGGCCCATACTATGCTTTCACGCCTAACAGAGCCACAAGGGTAAAGGGTGAATCATTGTGTCTCAAACAGGTGGTGGCATGTTCGCAATCAGTATCTACGAGACGACATAAACGAAGCATCAAAGGAGAGATAGAGCTCAAAGTTAGTAAGTAAAGGAAGGGTAAGGTAATCCTAATTGATAGTCGGGTCAGCATATCATATATCAATTATACCAAGCTATTAAGACCCGAAGTCTAACTGGTTGTGAAAGTAGTCGACCCAACACAACTAGATATCCCTTATTAGCAATCAGTGAATTGCGTTGTCCAAAAGAACCTCGAATGCCCAAGGGTTAAAAGAAGGAAACTATAAATCCTCTTACCTCTGTAGGTAGAAAGTAGAGGTGGGTTTTATACTTTTCATAGTGGCAAGGAAGCCATTGGAGTGGAAAAAGAAGAGAGATATGGCTACAAAACTGAGACGCTCACACAAAGAAGTTATTCCTGTATAGATCGGGGAAGTCTTTAACACCTTAAGTGTGCTAGACAACCACTTGAGTAGAAATCTAATGCTATATTAGGTGGTTTGAAGAAGTGTGGGGACTTCTCCTTAGGTCATGCAGATATGATGTAGTGAGCTAACAAGTCCTAATTTGGAGGCCCTATTAGAATGACATGGGTTATAGCCATGTAATTTTAAACTGTTTTAATTGTGACCCATAGGCCATGCAGAAAAATAAAAGCTAATTTTCAAAATCTTATAATATTTTAACCCTAAATTTTGATTAATCTTAATATCTTGTTAGTAGTTTATAGAATATTTATAATTTTGGTCCTTAGAGAGCCTAAATTGCATATCCTTGTGATTCTTAGATAATCTACAAGCCAAAAAAAGAGTAACTGACAAACACATAACAGGAACGTAAAGCAAGCAAAATTAAAGAATGAAAACATTGGACGCTGCTGGGTCTACAAAATTTCCCAGAAAGGCAAAATGGCGGTTAGACACCACATATGCATCCAAGGTCCTAATGTTATACATAAAGAGAATTCATAATTAAGGTATAGGACATGAGTTTGCAGCTCCTTGTCCCCATCACGTGATTTCGCCTAGTACACATCTCAAAACCCATACTAGTACATTATTTTTGATACAGACTTGAACCTATAAAATATAAAAACTACATGATAAAAGTTAAAAAAAAACTCAACCTACAAAAAAGTGGGGTTGCTTGACATGCCTAAAAATATACTACTTTTATATATACATTTTATGTTCATTTTTAATGATATTGCATCTTAACGGAAGGTATTTTACTTGTTTTTTATTACAACTACTAGAAATAGAGTTTTGAAGGAAAAGAAGCAAAAACGGAGCAAAATGGGGTCAAATGGAGCAAAGGAGCACAAAGTGAACTGGCGCCTATCTGCCAACTTCTGGCACTTGGGCGCCTATCTACCAACTTCTGGCGCCTAGGCTCCAGACCCCATACATAGAAACAGAGTGCCCGACACCATGGCACCACGATCAGGCACTTAAGCATCATCTAGTTATATTGGGCTTCTAGAAGGTTTGTGCTTAGGCACCAGAATTAGTTTGAATTATTATGCATTGAATTTGGATAAATTTTAAAAGAACATCTGAAGTGACTCTTGAGGATTTTGAGATTTATCATAAAAGAAGTCAAGAGAGCTAAAAAGGGTGTCATGGTCA